GTGGACATATAAATGCGTACTAAATACTTTAAGAAAAATGCCATAATTAATGGTTGTGAAAGCTTATAATATTATATATAAAACAATTAATAAGAATTTTCACAAAGTTAAAAAATTGACAGGTAATATAAATAATAGGAGAGAACGTGTTAGTCAGATAACTTTAGGAAAAACCTTATATACAGTTGACCCTTGAACAACGTGGGTTTGAATTGTGCAGGTCCACTTAATATGTGGATTTTCTCCCACCTCTGCCACCCCTGAGATAGCAAGATCAACCCCTCCTCTTCCTCCTCCTCCTCAGCCTACTCAATATGAAGATGATGAGTATGAAGACCTTTATGATGATCCACTTCCACTTAGTGAAGTAAATATTTTTTCTCTTCCCTATGATTTTCTTAACTTCTAGCTTACTTCTAGCTTACTTTATCGTAAGAATACAGTATATAATATACTTAACATACAAAATACGTGTTAATCAATTATTTATGTTATCTAGTCAACAATAGGCTATTAGTAGTTAAGTTCTGGAGGAGTCAAAGTTATGCTCAGATTTTTGATTGCACAAGGGGTTGGTGCCCCTAACCCCCATGTTGTTCAAGAGTCAACTATACTTTTTGAGCCCAAAGTATTTATAACAGTTTAATAAATGGTACAAGCATTATTTAATTGAGCAAATAGTGTAAGGCAGAACAATGGAAATTAGATTATATCATAATTCTGTCTATGATTAATTATACCATTTTTAGAATTGATTGGTGTATTATCATTTATCGTGTAAAGAAAATAATCCTTAAGAACAATACTTTTTTGGGAGATTTTTAAAAATTGAGGTATAACTTATATACAGCAAATTACATAAGTCTTAAGTGTATATTTCAATGAGTTTTCATGCAGTAAACATATCTAGACCAAGAATAGAACATTTCCAAATCCTCAGAAGGCTCCCCGAGACCCCTTTGCAGTTAGTACTTCCCCAAGGCTACAACTATTCTGATCTTTATTGCCACAGATTACTTTAGAACTTTTTAGTTATTTAGTGCTATTTAGGTCAAGTCTTTCAAGAAAAAGTCCTATTTGGAAATTCTTATTCTAGAGGATGCATTAAAGGCATAATTTTATCCACTTCAAATTTTGTGAGGAGACTGTCTCTAAAACTATAATATCCATAAGAAAAATCACCAATAAAGAAAAAAAAGAGTTGTGAAAAAAGAATAAAGTGAAAAGAAAAATCAGCTGCCCCCAAGCATCTTGCTTTTCTATGCACCTCAGTCGAAAATCATCTCTTTAGAAGGTAAATATATAGTATAGTGACCACAGGAGTTCCAAACACATTCAGATTTTAGATAAAACTTCAGATTTATTCGAGTATCCCAGAAGTCAATTCTATGATGGCAATGTTCTGTTTCCAGGGAGTACTTATCTTTACACTCAGTCATTTGGCATTTGGCCACAATGTGTTCCTCTGCTTTCAAGCCTCTGTGATGTCCAACTCATCAACTTACTGGCCCACATTCTGTTTGAATTGCTCAATGATCTGCTCCCCTTTCTTTTGATCATCTTTTCCCTACCTTCTCCCCTCATCATCTCAAACAATCCGGCTGCCCTGGCAGGACTCTGCTTGCAGGCTTGTCCCCCAGCCCATGCATGAACATCACCCCAGCAGAACAGAACTAGAGACTTGAGTGGGGCATTTGCCTTGGTCTGTGTGTTTTCCAAAGGTGGATATTGCTACTACTGCTACCACCACTGACTAGTTATCATTGTCTAATGCCTACAGTACCTGGGGCTGAGTAGAGCTTCATAAATGTCATTTCTAAATCTTCCTGCAATCCTGTTTGGCAGGTAACATTACTCCCATTTTGCTATGGGGAAACAGACCTGCCTCTTGCCTGAGGTCACATAGCCAGGAACAACTGAGCCAGGATTTGTACCCAGTTCTGACTGGCTTCAAAGCTTACTATGACTCTGGTCACCGCAGTTGGTGGGAAGAGATAGGTAGAATAGAATCCCCAGCAGGTGCAGGAAGGGCTGACAATGTATTGGGGTCTGGAGTAGGGTAGGCATGAGGGCACAGTGCAGTTTGTCTGGGACTGGGATGCAGAAAGAGAGAAGGAAAGGGTGGTGGTCAGGGGTGTAGGGAGTGCTGGAGGGGCCTTCAGGACTTGGCTATACAAAGTCAGACCTTCTCCAGCTCTGCTTACCAGAGAGGGAGTAATGGTGTCTGCAGCCCAGAGGGACAAGGAGATGGCATTTTCACATCTCAACCCCTCAGGCCTGGGCAGACTGCCAGAGTAGAGAGCCAGGGAAGCACTGAGGCAGGGGAGATATTATCAGGAGGAAGGAAGCTCTGGCAGCTCCCATCAGCCTGTTTGTGACAAGCAGGCTCAGAGCCACGGAAGTTCCTTAAGGTCAAGGGAAATGTGATCCTGGATCATGGGGTTGAAGCTGGGACACTCCCTTTACCTTATGCCTTCAGGTCAAGGGGATCTAGCCAGAGCCAGGCCCAGGGCCCAGGTCGAAAGAGCAGTGGGCTAGAGAAGGGGGAGGGGCAGTTAGAGAGGAAGAGAGAAAGAGAGAGAGAATGAATGAATGAAGATCTCTGGGCACCTCATAAACAGTCTCTTGGCTGGAGAGGTAATGACATTTATTGCAGCCAACATTGGGTAACTGGCTCTTCAGAGCTCTCGGGGTACATTTCTTCATACGTGAACTCTCACCTAGTTCTCCTCTTGTCCCTGCAATGGTCTCTCCTTTCTTGTCCAACTGGTACAGTAGAAAGTGCACTGCATTTAGAGTAGGGAGACCTAGGTTCAAGTCCCAGTTCTGCTAATCAATTAGACAAGCTGTCTAACTAATTAAGCTTTCTGAAATCTCAATTTCCTCATCCATAAAGAAAGCAAGTAATCCCTGTCAAGTCTTTGTTACAGGGATTAGAGAATTACCATGAAGAGCATGAAGTTCTATATAAATATGAAATGGTATTTCTTTGTCTTCTTTCCTTCTGGCCACCTCTCTCCACAAAGATCACCTCACTACCACGTCAGAGCTGGAGAAGACTTCTAGTCTAGGAAACGGAACATCTCTGTGCGTAAATCCCACATGCCCTTTTCCCATTTGTTTCCTCCCCTTGTCATGCTGCCATGATAACATGGGACAGGGGAGAGATATACAAGGGCATAGACCAGGGAATCTAGACCCCTGATCCTGCTCAGATTGCCTCTGGGGGGTAAGCTTCTGGGAAAACAGCAACAAAAAGATGAAAGACTATGTCCTCTGGAGCTCAGCCCACCAAGGTGTCAACCCTAATTCCTCCTCAGCCTCCCAGAAGAGGCTGAACCAGGAAGAGCCCCAAGAGATGAGAGGAAGAGAATGCTCTGAGTGTAGAGGGGCGGAGTGGAGCAGAGGCCTGGAGAGGGAATTCAGCCTCGGCCAAAGAGTGAGGCAGTCTGGAAACCTAAAGGATTTTGTCCAAGTGCACAGGAACCAGCTGGAATTGCTGAGAGTCCCTTTTCTGGGGAGGGTCACAGGCCACTATGTAAGCCTTGTTCAGGTGCTTCTCTTTGTACCTGCAGTTCGGGTACTTCCCTGAGGTGAGTTCACATAAGGTCAGGGACACTGGCCCATGGCTTCCGTGGCAGTTTTTATGGCCCTTCTTCTTGCAGGCTATATTGGGGCTCTGGCAGGTGGCCGCCACACTGGAGAAGGAATCATGCAGGAAGGTGTTGAGATTTTTGCAATGTTTTGTGTACTTGTTGATGTTGCGCATTGCTGAGTTGCATGCTTGAGGGCTGGGCTGCACATGCTGAGTTTTAAACCACTGAGATGAAGTCATGTGGCTGGGCTTGGCACTGACTGGGGTCTCAGCCACCCACAGTCCCAGCAGCAGGAGCAGCAGCAGTGGGCAGAATTTTGCTCTGGCTAGTGCCATCTCTCTGGGGGGAGCAGTCAGAATGGAGGGCTGGGGTCACTGGGACAGAGAGCAGGAGGTGCTCAGTTGAGAAGTCAGCCTTCCTATACCTGATCATTCTAGTGGGTCACCCATCTCCCTGCCCTACTGTGTCCTTTCCTTACTCTGTGTCTTGTCTCTTCCTCTCCCTCTGTGCGCATATCCACTGTGGCCCCATGACCCTGGCCTTGTAGCCCTACTCCCTTCATTCTGTCCCTGTTGCCTCCTGCTCTTTGTTCAATCTCTTGTCCCTCAAGTACCCTCCCCTTTGTGGCCCCATGTCCCTATGTCTGTGTCTCATCCCCTCCACATCCCCAATCTCATCTCTGTGTCCCCATTCTTTTCCATTTTGTGACTCTACCCCCAATACCATTCTCCCCTCTCCCCCATGCAAGTTCTCATCTCCCCCAAGTCGAGTCCCTTCCTTGTTCATCTTATCACTCACCCGGGGACACTCTCACCTGGTCAGAAATAATCCCTTCTTCTATGTCCTCTCTCCTCACCGGGTCCTACCGCAGCTGCACGTCTTCACTTAGTCCTTGTGCTGTGACTCCTGCTCAGTGGGCTGAGGCTATGTCCACGCACTGCTGGGCTCTCAGACATCTGAGGGCCTCTTCTCACTGCCTACGACCTTAAGAGCCAGCCCAGGCAATGCTGCTTCTGTTTGGGGGCGGGCCGGGCAGCAATTCCTGGATCAGGAAATGAATCAGGTTCATGCCTCTCCACTTACATGTCCCAGATAAGTGGATACCTATGGATACCTGTACCTGCCTAGATGTGTTCAGCAATGCGGAAGCTTGAATCCTCACATTCAAAGCCTATATTTGGCCCCTGGCCACATGGTTGTAATGACTCTTTAATAAAGCACCTGACCTAGGTGTCAACCCAAATCAATTTCAGGGAGAGTTGTCATTTACCTCCTATATACACCTCTGGTCCATGATCCTGGGAAGAGCCAATCACTGTTGTGTTAAGGATTGCTTTTTCTCTGACCTGAGGTACAGATAGAATAGTCTAGAAAGTTGCCTTGTATGGTTCCTTGTCATCCGGGGATACTGCTTATCTTTCGCAGGAGATGGAGAAGCCAAGGGAAGTGGATGACTCAGCACCTCCAAGATGTCCATCAACATCCCCAACAGCTCAGTTATTCCACAAGAATTCATTCCTCTGGGCCCCTCCAGTTCCAGATGCCAACTAAGGCCACATGGCTTTACCTAGGGAAGGCACCCAACACCTCTCAACTTCACTCTTTCCCTCCCTTATTTATTGAAAGTTGCAAGACTTAAACACTGTCCCAATGTTTGTGTTTGAAAAGGTGTTGGTGTTTCTTTCAACACCCTGCCTTAACCCTCCCTTCACCTTGTATGTCCTGTTCCTTGTGGTGGTAACAGCTATGTGGAAAGTCAGGGTCAGGGTGGCTCTGGGGCTCCCGTGAGCTTGGAATATGACACTCAGGAGAACCGACATGCTGAGGCAGAGAAGTGTCGCTGTTTGTGGGTGGGAAGACCAGGAAAACTGAGAGGAATAGTATTTTTGTTTTCAGACTTTACCTGTAAGTAGTAGGTGTGCTTCATTCATGTAGTCAACAAGAATTTATGGAGTACCTACTATGTGCCAAGGTACTTGGGATATGTCAGTGAACAAAAGAGACAAAAATCCCTTTGTGGAGCTTACATTCCATTGGGGAAAGTCAGTAAAAAATAAATATATGTTTTGCTCAAAGTGATAATTGCTAAGGAAAAAAGCAGAACAGGATAGGTGTTAGACGGCAGTGATTTCTATGTAGGGTCATCGAAGTAGGTGACTCTGGGACAGAGAGTTGAAGATTAGAGAGTGAACCTGTGTTTGTGTGGAGGAAGGATGTACCAGGTAGAGAGAACAGCACTGCAAAAGCCCTAGAACAAGATACGTAACCTAAACATTTGTACCCCATAATATGCTGAAATAAAAAAAAAAAATTAAAAAAAAAGCCCCAGAATAGACAGACGTCTATGGTGTTGGAAAAACAGGAAGGTGTCCAGTGTGGCTGGAGCAGGCGAACAGGGGGTTCAGAGAGGGACCAGAGGCAAGGTCGTGGGAAGCCTTAGAGACCGTTAGAAAGGCTCTGACTTTTACTCTGGGAGCCAGGAGCAATGGGGAGCCCTGGGAGGGTTTTAAGCAGAGTAGGAAAGAACCTGTTTGTTGTGTAGATTATAATTGTAGAGAGGTCACATAAACCACATCTTGATCATAAGGTTTATGTTCTGGTCCAGAAGTTAGGAATTCAAGTCAGGAAGACGGGCATTCATCTTAAGGCCAAGGGGACATAATTTTGGTAGATGAAGAGCCCAGCTGTGGGTCAGGATGAAGGGTCTTTAGAAGAAAAAGTGGTGTTGGAGATGGGGGACGCCACAAGATGGCAAAAGAGAGTCAAGAACAAGTTCACACGGGCCTGTAGCTCTTCTGGTTTCCCCTCAGCAAAGCCTTGGCTGAGGGGACAGCAGTTCACTTCTTTGTTAAGGTGCCTACCTGAATCTTTGCAAACTGAACTTCTGGGTAGAGTGCCCCTGCTGCCGTAGAAACACAAGTGTTAGAAGATATCCACAGTTTAAAGCAGACTGTGGATGCAACGCCTGCCAGCAAGGGCCAGTCTAACCCTGGGAGTAGAGGCTGGGTGGGAGGCTGCAAGCTCATTTGAATTCCAAGCCCAGTTCCCCTTCCACTTCCCATTATCCTAGAGTGAGATGTTTCCAAACCACGATTTGAACTGCCCTCTGCTCTTGTGTTTTCCTGTCGTTACAATTATCCAAGTTTGCTCTTCAACTCCATTATGCTGGGCTGTCCAGAAGGCTGCCTTAGCACTGCGTGAAAGTGAAATAAACATGGCCCTATTCTATCAGGTCAAAGGGAAAAGCTTTCATAAGCTGGCATATGAAAATTGAAGTAGAAGAGTTGAATCTACCATCTGTACAATTCAAGCTGAAACTTTTGCTCTGACTCAATTATTTGGATAAGGGAGGTGATTTTGTTTGCTTAAACTATCCAGCTTCCAAGATCTGCTTCACTTTGCACTTGGCAGGATAATTTTGCTATTTTACCTTCACTGCATTCATAGGGCAACAGGAAAAGATGGAGGAAGGGGGACAAGGTTAGGGAGAACAAAAGGAGTTAGGCATCAGGCCAAGGACTGGTCAGGGAGTCTTGCAGAAGGAAGGAGAGAAACTTAGCAGAAGACAAAATGGTGGGCGAGAAGGTGGGAGGGAAGAAAGTCTCTCACACCAGCAACCCCTATTCCAGCCTCCTTCTCATTCTATCGCCATAGTCACTGCTGCTGGCCCAACCTCTCCCCAGGCTGTCGTGTGTGTGTGTGTGTGTGTGTGTGTGTGTGTGTGTGTGTTCAAGTTGAGGCGGGTGTTGTGAAAATCCCAACAGTGCCAGGTGGACTTCTGCCTGTCTTCCCCACAGGACAACAGCTGCTGCTTCCTCTGGCCTGTGTTGGGAGGGAGGGAGGGAGGGAGGGGGTTGGGAAGGGAGGCGGGCCGGGCCTGGATTGGTGCCCACCCTTCAGAGCCGAGCCTCTCCCTCTCTCTTCCGGAGTTCCACACAGCCTCTGGATACCAATGGGAAGCCCAGGAGAGTTTCGTTCCAAGCAGCAGCAGATCCAAGTCTGGTATCCTAATTTTGTTGATCCTTGGATAAATAAAGGTAATGGGCTCATTTTTGTTGACTGAGAAAGTGAAACATGCAGCAAGTTGGGGTTAGATGTGGAACTGGCTTCAGGTCCCTGAATTCCCATGACCTTTCCTGGAACAGCTGTGGGTTTGGAGGAGGCCACACTGACAGAAGGGTGGGGTCCGTGGCTCCCACACCAATGCCTTTAGACAAGCCAGGATGCAGGAGAGAGGGACCTGGTCCGGAAGTGAGCCCTTGTCAGCTCCCCCTTTATGTACAGAATAAAGTATAACTTCCTTAGCCTGATAGTCAGGGTCTGCCACAATCAGGCAAACCTGTCTTTCTAATTTCATTTCTGACTTTTCTCCCACTGAGTGCCTAGCCAGACTGGTTTTCTCCCATTTGTCAAACATATCTTGCATAATCCTTTTTTATCTCTACTAAACTTCTAACTACCCCATGAAATCCATCCCAAGGCCCCAGGGTGACCCCCCAGGAAAACTTTTTCTGACCCTCCCAATTCAGAGACATCTTTCTCACCTCTAAATTCCTACAGCATTTACTGTCTTCAAGATGTATAATTTTCTGCCTTGAATCATTGGTCATTTCTTCATACATATTTATTGTTTTCCTCCAACTTAGATTGTCAATTGCCAGAAGACTAGGCCCACCTGTTATACTTCTTTTGCATGTCTCATAAGATATAGCACAGTGCCTTGCATATGACCCTAACTGATTCAGCTTTCACTCTGCTCCTGAATGATCCCAGTCCCAAGTAGGATCACCACCAAACCGCAGAGATGGTCATCAGATCGAGAAACTGAAAATGCAGCTCCTAACTTCAGCCCTGGGGTTGAAGGTTGAGATGGCTGAAGCAATTCTTTGGGTTCAGGGACAACGCAGACACTGTCCATGAAACAGTACAGTGTTTGAGCAACTTGAAATGGACAGGGCAAAGAGAAATGCCATTGAGAGCATGGTGAACCCACTCAGCGTAAAATCTAGGGTTCTCCTCAATCCCATGGAGTCACTCCTGCACCTGCCACCTTAGCCAGTTGTTCTACAAATGCTTACCCTTGGGGAGGGAAGGGAGAGGACGTGTAGATGTTTACACGCAGAGGGTGATCTTTACAGGAAAAATAACTCAAATTTATCATTTCAGTGGTGAACTGCTAATACTCCTTTTGCTGGTAGAAGAACCAGCGCCATTACAATCAAAATCTGTTTAACAAAAATATTTCTAAGCCTTAAATGTTTACCAATTCTTTTTAGTACATAAAGTACAAGTAAGTCTGCTCTTTTTAGGAAGTTTGATTATCTCATCATTTAGACCAGGGCTTCTCAACCTCAACGCTATTTACATCTTGGCCTGGGTAATGCTTTGTTATAGGAACTGTCCCATGAAATGTAGGATGTAGGATGTTTAGCAATATCCCTGGCCTTAGGCCAGTAGCAACTCCCAATTGTGACAGACAACCAAAAATGTCTCCAGACATTATCAAATTGCCCCTGGTTGAGAATCACTGAATTAGACTTATGACCTTGAACAAGCTATTATCCCTCTAGAACTTAATTTTTTTCATATCTAGGGTAATTATTATTATTATTTTTTTTTTAGGGAAGCACAAAGATAAGGTTTCTTGAAAGGAAAATAGTATTATCAGGTAAGAGAAGGTATAGGCTTACAGAGCATGACACATACACCACAGATGAGGACCAGACCCATTGGGATAATTCTTGAATATGTAAAATCCCGTGCAATGGGGGAATAACCCCACAAATCTCAGGCTTAGAGAGCTCATGAAGCCATGATGAGGATGTCATAGTGCATGGAGCAATCCTATGGATCAGCACCTCTAGGACAGGATTTTAGAGAACAGACCACCAGGATTGCAGTTGGGAACACGAAGGCCCGTCACTCAGTCCCTTCTCACCATGTTTCCTGGCCCTGTACTTATGCCTTGGTTACATATGTTTATACGTGTGCCTTTCCTACGGAATTATAAATTTAATCTGGACTGGAACAGTCTTATTTACCTGTATATTTTCCATGACATTTGTCCTAGTGCTTTTCTTTCTTTCTTTTTCTTTTTCCTTTTTTTTTGAGACAAAGTCTTACTCGTTGCCCAGGGCTAGAGTGCTGTGGCGACATCATAGCTCACTGCAACCTCAAACTCCTGGGCTCAAGCAATCCTCCTGCCTCAGCCTCCCAAGTAGCTGGATTATAGATATGAGCCACCGTGCCTGGCCCCTAGTGCTTTCTAGATACTATCTGACAACAATTTTTTAAAAATCATTGTAAAGTAATCATAAAAGCCTTCACAGAGATGATTTCTAAGCCAGGAGTTAGAGGGGGCTCTAGATTGGCAGAGCAGGCATGGGGGGTGGTGGATGGGGGTGCTGTTGCAAGACTTACTTAGGGAATAAAAGGCTTTGCAGATGTCAAAAGTGACTTAGTGTAAAACCTAGAAGGCCATATGTGGTCATCCATTTATATATTATTTAATGATTAAAAAGCACTTGCGGCCGGGCTTAGTGGCTCACGTCTGTAATCCTAACACTCCGGGAGGCCAAGACAGGAGGATCGCTCAAGGTCAGGAGTTCGAGACCAGCCTGAGCAAGAGCGAGATCCTGTCTTTATTAAAAAATAGAAAGAAATTAGCTGGACAACTAAAAATATGTAGAAAAAATTAGCCAGGCATTGTGGCACATGCCTGTAGTCCCAGTTACTCGGGAGGCTGAGGCAGAAGAATTGCTTGAGCCGAGGAGTTTGAGGTTGCTGTGAGCTAGGCTGACGCCATGGCACTCTAGCCTGGGCAACAGAGTCAGACTCTGTCTCAAAAAGAAAAAAAAGAATAAAAAGCACTTGCATGCTTGCTGTCTCATTTTATTCTTACAGCCTTATGAGGTAAGGAAGGTATTATCCTATTTTTATAGAAGGGGAAACAGAAGCTTAGTAGGTCAATTAATATAAAGTCCTGAACTCTTTCCTCTACTGATGTCCTGTTCAATTTCCGTAAGTGGTGGTGGGTGGGGGAGTGGAGAGTGATGGGTGGGTGGGGAATGAAGGAAGCATCAAAAGCCCCTTTCTCTTCTCAGGGAAGCTGCAGCCTTGAAGGACCAGGGAAGAGGCGGCATGATTTAAGGCTGGGACCACAATGTGGCTAGCTTCCTCAAAGCAAAGACTTGAGTCAGCCAGGCTCAGGCACCACCCTGCATGGGTGCCCACTCAGTGGTGTCTTGTTGAGCAGGCTGAAGGATGCAGATGAGCCACCTGCCTGTGTGGGCTCTATCCACACTTGTTTGACTGTGCACACTTCCCTGGGGAGGTCTGCCAAGCAGGGGCTTCTTAAGCGGGACCTCTGGGTTGAGTCTTCATATGAGGTAGCTCCATGGAATTGATGGGGTGAGAGGGAAAGGAGGGGGAGCAGCAGCATTCCATGTAGAAGAGCCAGCAGAGCAAGGGCACAGAGTAGGGGTGGGAACACAAGATGGGAAGCAGGGCAGGGAGGTAGATGAAGCTGCAGACATGGGCAGGAGCAAGATCATGGAAGGTCTTATGTCTTCTGAGACATAGTTTGGACTATAAGAAGCTACTGCAGAGTTTTTGAAAAAAGAAGGTACTGCATTTTTTCTTCTGGCAGCTGTGTAAAAGATATATTTGAGTTAGGCCTCACTGGAGTTGGAGAGCATGTGACGTTCAGGAGAGAGGAGAGCCTGAACAGGAGAATGAATAGAAGGGATGGGCTTGGGAAAAGTTTTAGATGAGACTGTCAGGGTTGCATGGTGGCTGGACTCACGCTCATACTGAGTACTCACCATGTGCCAGGCACTGCGCTGAAAGCTCTTAATATACCTCTTAATGAATCCTTACACCACCATGAGGTGTAAAATACTATCCTCATGAACAGATGAAGAAATGGAAGTGTAGTGGTTTAGGAAACTTAGACTGGTAGTATGCAGCATGTAAGCTGCAGAGCCAGGGTTCAATTCCCGGTCTGTTTCACTCAAGACCCTCGATCTTAACCACCACGTAGGAAGGCCTCCCAATAGTTGGGGTGAGGGAAGCAGAGGGGTATAGGATCACTCTCAGGTTTCTTGCATAGGTCAATGAGGAAACTGAGATAGATAACACAGGAAGAGAAGCAAGTCATAGGAAAGATGGATTCAGTTTGGGACTCTAGTTTGTGCTGTCAGAAAGTGCCAGTCTAGAGGGCTGTGAATGAAGAACACCAATATGTCTCTCTGTGGCCTCACTCCTTCCTCCTTCTGAGCCATACTATGGGCCTTGGAGCGCTCAGCTCTGTGCGTCCTAACTCCCCTCTCCTGCCCTCCAGGGCAAGGGTGAAAGGCTCTCCTAAGAGGAAGCCCCAAATCTGGAAAACACCTTGCAGGGAGACAAGGCTGAGAGGCCTGTGGAAGTCAAGGGCTAGGGCTGGCAGGAGCCAGCAAGCAAGCTCCGCGGTTCTGACGAAGGGGCAGATGTTGATAAAAAAGAGAGTTAGGAGCCTGGCCCCAATTGGATCAGGCTGGGCTCTGGGGTCCACATCCCCTCAAGTCTAGGTTATGCTGTTGAATCCAACCTGCCAAATTGGAGGCTTCAGAGTCGGCGTGCATAGCTCTCCAGGAACACTTGGATTCTGACAGGGCCTGAGGTCACAGGTGAGGGGTGTCAGTGTGGCAGGAGTGAGGCTGATGACAGGAACTATGCGGAGTCCACATGGAGGTCTTTGATTTTCAGGTTGGCACTTTGGTGGGAGGCTCCTGTGCACATGGCCTCCTGGGCTCCTGTGTGTGGGATGAGAGTGGTGGATGCTCTGTTCTCCAAGGGTCAGGAATAAGAAGCACTTTGTTCCTCAGAAACACGGCAGTCCTTTCCTTCTCACCTTGCCACAGGAGCAGAGCTTATGGGCCAGAGAAAACATCAAAGAAAGCCCAGGAACTGAGAGACTTCTGGCAAGGAGGTTGGAACTAAGTGTACTGATGACACCAGAGAGGAGGAGACCAGAGAGCAATGTCTCTTTCCTCCCACCCATTCAACCCCCTCAGCACAGCGGGTCCTCAAACTCAGGGGACAGCCCCTCCTCCCAGACTGGTCTTCACTCAGAAACCTTTCTACCTTCTCCTCACCTCTGGGCTGTCCTTGGCCTCAGGCAAGAAGAATCCTTGAGCCCACCCAGCTCAGCTGTCTTCAGCTTCTGCCCTTCCAGCCTTTGGAGAATTATCAGGCCAGCCTGTTCCTTCTATCCTCTCTGAATTGTTTACCAGAAAAGGTGCCAGGGCCAAGGATAATTGGAAAAAGCCTCTCACCCAAGGACCGGTGGAGCTCTTATTCTGCAAGTATTGTAGCTCACGGACTGGGTGAGGCTGAAACCCTGTGGTGGACCAAGGGAGTGGAGGGATGGCTGCAGGGGGCTGGTCAGCTGGTGGCCTTGGGCAAGCATCACATCTTTTTGGGTCATGAAGACTTGGGTGGGTGATCTCTGAGGTACTGTCCAGTTCTTAGAGGGAAGGGAAGGGACATAGGGAAGGTTGGGGAATGCTAGAGGTTATGGAAGGGGCAGATAGCCACTCTAGGCCCACCCCTAACTCCAACCACCTTAACTCTACCAGCAGGGGGAATGGCACCAGCTGTGGCCTGGCTACTTTTCCTTCAGCTTGTTTTGGGACCAACTCTGGTCGTGGATATCAAGCTGCAGATCGCCATCAAGAACTTCCGCAATTTACACGTGGACTATCCCAGGGTTAGCTACCCGAAGGATTTCCAGGGCTACTGTAATGGTCTGATGGCCTATGTGCGGGGCAGGATGCAACACTGGCATTGCCCAAAGATCCACTACGTGATACATGCCCCTTGGCAAGACATCAGGAAGCTCTGCAAGCATAGTGAGAGTTTCTGTGAGAACTACAATGAATACTGCACACTCACTCAGGATAGCTTCTCCCTCACCATCTGTTCCCTGGATCTCAAACAGCCACCCACTAGCTGCCGTTATAATAGCACCATAACCAACCAAAGGCTCTACCTGCTCTGCTCCCGCAAGTATGATGCTGAACCAATAGGTATCACTGGCTTCTACTAGGGAATTTAATTCCTGAACCGCCACCCCCCCACCTCTACCACCATAGGCCAGCCTGTCCCCATTTCCAAAACTCTGATCCCCGCAACAAGACTTCCTTCCTGACTCTGAAGCAGGCAGGGTCCCCTCCCAAGAGACCAGGCAGGTGTGAAAACGTCCAGGACTTTTGATCACTATGCAAAGTTGTACTGTTGTCTAGGCTCTTTCCAACTTGTTTACCATCCCCAACCCCCATCCTCCCTCTCCCAGAGACAGTAAAACCCACCCAAGAAGCTGACTGTGTCCACTTGGCAGTGACTGTCCACCACTGGGCCAGATCCTAAATCCTGGATGGAGGCCCAGGGCCTCAGCTCACACCATGGCAACAGGCACCAGCCCTACATCTCACCTCCCATCCCCACCACCCTTCTTGGCTCCGTCTTCCCCATTTCCCTCCTAATGCCCTCCACTCATCCACCCGCACAGTCGGTGTCTCTAGCTGCAGGAAGCTCCCTGAGGCCCTTAAACTCACCTTGGCTTCATTTTCCCACTGACTCCTCAGCTCTCGGCCTGCTCCACTCTGAAATCATAGATTCTCCCTTCATGTAACTATCCTTCCCTCCCTTCTGCTGTCTCTGTCCCACCAGCCTTTAGTGACCTTGCCTTCCTTTTTCCAACCTCTTTTCCTGCCATCCTTCTCACCTCGGCTTACTTGAATTTCAAGGTATCTTGTCCCCTCCATCCCCTAAAAGTTCCTGCTTCTCCTCTATTCCAGTAGCTCCTCCCAAGCCCCCAGACTCCAGGGTCTGCTTCTGACCAGACAGGGATGAGGCAGCCCTGCCCTGGTCATGTAAAGTTTTTTTGGGGGGGGCGGGGACCCTCTAGACACTGATAGTCATGTAAAGTTTTGAAACCACAACTGAGTTACATGAGATATAACCATTGGGGGAAACTGAGTGAAGGGCACAAGAGACCTCTCTATACTATTTTTTGTAACCTCCTGTGAATCTGTATTCATTTCAAAATAAAAAGTTAAAAGCACACATCTGACTCCACTCTGATCTAACTCCTTTTTCTCCAGTGCACCAGAACTCCTGGTAGCCACCCACCTCTGGCCATCTTCCTGGGCTACCTGTGGCGGTCAGGAAGAGCTGCTGTTCTGTGTGTACCATGCTGGAGGTGAGGTGGGTAAAACTCAGTTTGGGGCTGGACGTTGAAAAGGGATTCTCCTTCCTCCAGCTTTAGAACGAATTGATATTAGGAGTCAAGTCACCCTAGCTGGTTTCCACTTCTCTTCCAACAAAACCTGGATTGCCACATATGGGAAAGGTGGAGGGACAGGGAAGGATCTAATAAGTGGCATCTGGGTCAACGTACATCAAATCAGGAGTTGCTACTCCCCCTTTTGGGAGGTGGGGGATGGGGTGGATACCAGTAATACTTTTGCCTTCACATCTGGTTCATCCCTTATTTCCAAATATACCCTTCAGTGCTGTTCTTACTGAGGGGAATGCTAACTTATGGCTGGTAGGCGTGAGGCTAGGTGGAGTAAAGGGTGTGTGGCTGAAGACCCTGACTCCCTAAACTGCCTCTTCTCCCTCTCTCTGCACCAGTGGGCCCATCGTGCCTCACCCTCATTGGACGGAGCTCGTTAGTTGCTACACACACAGATGTTTATTGTTTCCCCAGCTCCCTGGTGTTAAAGATGCAGGGTCAGAGGGCTACTCGGCTAAGACGAGGCTGCTCGTTACTTCTTCTTATCGTAGGTGCCTGCACCCTTGTAGCCGCTCACGTAGCCTGAGTTGTCAGTTGTCTCTTCCCGTCCTGCCATGCCCTTGCCCTTGCCACTCTCATCAAAGCGCTCCTTGTGGCTGCCTGTGTACTTGCTGGTGTCTGTCAGACGGTCCACTGCACCCACTGTTGTTGCTTTCTACAAGCCAGATAATGGGTTTGAGCCCTCTTCCTCCCCCTTGCACTGCCACAGCCCTTCCCCAGAGATGGCCCGAGATATCTGGAATAAGTGTGTGGAGCTCTTGCTCTGCCTCTGGCATGGGACTGCTTCTCTTCGGGCCCAGATGCAGCCGTGGGCCGGAGCTCTGGCAAGAGCCATCCACTCACAAGGGAAGGGGAGTCTGGCGTGGGAGTGTGTGCAGGGTGTGTGGACGGAGGGTGGATTTTTCTATTTCCAGAAGAGTTATTCTGACCAGGGTGCTGTGAGAGGACTTCACCCCAGACCCAACATGAGAGTAGAAAGAGCTTTTAGCACAGAGAAGACAATAAAGGAAATGGGAAAGTGAGAGGCAGGAGGCCTGAGATTAAACCTTAAATAAGAGCAGGAAGAGGACTGGGGATCAGGTACCAAGTCCTCTACACTAAAGTCCTCCACAAGTCACCAAGCCCTAGTTGCCTGACTCAGATACTGGAGACTTGGGAATGAGTCTAAATCTACTATTAAAATGGCTATGAGGCCTGGCTCGGTGGCCCACGCCTGTAATCCTAGCACTCTGGGAGGCTGAGGTGGGAGGACCACTTTAGTTCAAGAGTTTGAGACCAGTTTGAGCAAGAGTGAGACCCTGTCTCTATAAAAAAACAGAAAAATTAGCCAAGTGTGGTGGCACATGCCTGTAGTCCCGTCTATTTGGGAGGCTGAGGCAGGAGGATTGCTTGAGCCCAGGAGTTTGAAGTTTCAGTGAGCTATGATGATGCCACTGCACTCTAGCCAGGGTGACAGAGTAATACTCTCCTTTCAGTAAATAAATAAGTAAATAAATAAAACGGCTATGGACTTTGGCAAGTCACTTTCCCTCTCTGGGCCACAGTTTCCTTGCTTCTGAAATGACTAGACGATCTCTAAAGTCTGTTTCCAACACCAACAGTGCACCACATGCTTTCTGCCCTGTGTCCCTACAGTCACAACTGTTGGCAGGGTTAGGGACCTTGGTGGGCAGGAGGGGAGACTGGAACAGTAGGGATTCAGGGACATAGGGTCCAGGGGTAGAGGTGAAGAATATCACTCACAGTAACACCGGTGGTGGCTGGGTCCTTGCCCTCCATGAGTTTATAAATGTTCTCCAGGGCTTCGTCTTCACCCTTCCCCTTGAACTGCTTCTGGCCCAGTTCCTTCATTGCCTCTTTGAACTGCTGAAATGTGATGGTTCAGGCATTCTTGGCCCTGGTCAGTCAGACAGAAATCCAGGAATTTTGGAGCATGAACTCAATACCTTCCAAGGCCCAACCCTTCCCTTACTTAGGTTCAGCCTCTTTTGACCCATCACTGTGCGTCTCGAGGAGAGAGAACAGCATGGTGCCAGGTAGCCTGTAAGTGCTTGGTAGGCCCATGGCAAATGGTCTGCCTGTGACCCACATGAACCCTTCCATGGCCAGCTACCTTGCTTGTTCTCCTCATCCCCACCCCCATATCTGTGATTTCTCACTTGACTTTGCTGAATACAATGTCCACATCCGTGGAGGTGACCATCTTGCCATCCATGATGCCACAGTCTTTGCATAGCTTGGAGAAGTTCTTGTTGTTCATTTCAGTGCCACTGCTTGATGATTCTCCAAAGGCAGCAAACCGCTGGAATGTTTTCTCTGCTTCAGATGCCATGGTCAGCTAGAGGTGGGGGGAGAGGGAGGAGGGAAAGGGAGGACTAACGAATAATGAGGATGAGGGTTAAGATTAAATCAGCAACCGAAATAACTCCCCTTATCCCTGCTGCTCCCTCGCCTCTACCCCCACCCCCATTCCACCTACCACAACCACAACATGAGTCTCCCCTTCTCAGCACTGGGGACACTGGGGTGGATCCTATATACTGAATAATCCCCCATTTTCCCCAAAACTTTTATGTACCTAAGGGTGCCCAGATGGTGTCTGACCCTTCCCAGCCTTTGTATGTAAGTGTGTGCAGATATGTGCAGGAGCCAGCGGGCTGGGGAGACTGGGTGGCAATGAGGAGACAGAGAGGGGGATAGGCAAGCTTCTATGACTTCAGCAGTGTTTATGTGACATCACTTCTGGCCCCAGCTACAGCCCCTGTCTTTGGGGGAGGGGCTTATGATCTCCCTACCTTGCATGGTGAACAGAGGAAGCTGCCAACCTTCTGACGTTTTCAGATGACCAAACCCATCATTTCAGCTCAGCTTAGCAATCCTCTAGGTCCTAGTCAAATTGCCCTCTGCTCTGCCATGCAACAAAAGCTGAGGCAAGCCCAGGGAAGGTGTTTTAGCCCATTTGGGCTGTATAACAAAATATCATAAACTAGGTGGCTTATAAACAACAGAAAATTATTTCTTACAGTTCTAGAGGCTGGAAAGTCTAAGATCAAGGTGCTGGTACATTCAGTGTCTGGTGAGGGCTGCTTTCTGGTCCATAGTGGTGCCTTCTTGCTGTGTCCTCACCTGGAGGGGGTAAACAAGCTCCCTTGGGCCTATTTATAAGGGCACTAATCCCACACATCAGGGGTCTGCCCTCATGAAACCTAATCAATTCCCCAAAAGCCCCACCTCCTAATACCATCACCTTGGGAGTTAGGATTTTAATATATGAATTTTGGGGGGACATAAACATTCAGATCATAGCAGAAGGGATTAATGAAAACAGGTTGGCATCATTTCTAGTCTCCAGGCTCAGGTGTAGTGAACAGCATGGAGAATCTCACTGGCTTTAACAGACCAACCCCAATAGAAACTTTAAATGACTTCCAGTGTTTGGTCCAATAGGGAAAGAGCACAGGCCTTGGAGTGTAAGGGAGGTGGGCAGGTCAGGGTAAACCGATTCAGCGTGAGGGTGAGTCTCAGACTCTGAAAATCTAAGTTTCCGTGCAGGTCAAAGATGTTCCTCAGGGGTTTCTCTCTTTGGCCTTTTCTCTGGCCAGAAGCCCTATAGACGGATGAACTTCAGGGATCCTAACATAGAACAACTAGATTGGTGACTTCTGTCCCCTTCCCATCTTATAATCAGTCACCAGTTCCTACAAATGTTTTTTCCCTTGTCTTACAAATCCATTCCTTTCTTTCCATTTCTATTACTTCCACCCTTATTCAAACCCTTATTATCTCCTATCTGGGTGACTACCTTGGCTTCCAAATGACCTCTTTCCTAAGTCTAATGTTTTGCTCCCACGTACCCGTAGCCATCTCTATTACACCCTCCTCATCAGATTAATGTTCCCCAAACAGTATTTTCTATCTATTACTCTTGCTTAAGAATATTCTACGGCTCAGCAATATACAATGACCCCTCATTGCCAAATCTTTTTGCCTAGTATTCAAGGACCTGCACAACGTGGCCCCAATCTACCTTACCAAACATCATCCACCTCTCATCAATGTTATCTTTCAACTGGAGTCACAATGGCCTAATTGCTGTACACTTGAGAGGCTACCTGGTAAAGGAAAAGAGCATAGTCCCTGGAGTGGAATGGATCTGGGTGGGGATTTGAATCCTAGAAATCTCATTTCCTAGATGGGTGGCCTTGGGCAAGTCACTAAACACCTTTGAGTTTCAGTTTCCTCATCTGTAAAGTGAGAACAATACCACTTACCTCAGAGTTGTGGGGGATAATATTATGGGAAGTGCCTTGCACATAGTAGCTACTATTCAGTTCTCCAAAGTGACTTATGTATTTTTGCTTCCAAACTGTCCCTGATGTTCTTTCTTTGCCTGGATAGAATGCCCCACTCTATCACTCAAATATTCCATGGTTTCATTTCTTGTCTGGGTGGTTCACCCTAGGAACAAAACCCTTTCCCTTCTTTGAATTATCATAATGGTTTCTGGACTGTGGGTTGCAGCCTCATGGGGTGAGGATTTCTGAAATATTGCTAGGGACCCTGGAATCTGTATGTATACATAAGAGTGAGTATAAATTGAATAAATAATATGCCTTGCATATTTTGGCATTACTTAATTTACAGATGTTGCGGTTATCAGAATACATTACAGAAACTTATTCGAAGCTCTTGTTGCATTCATACCTTGTATTTTCTCCATCAGAGAATACTAAAACCATCATGAGGGGATGGAAATCTTGGATCTCCCATTTGAGAAGGGTGGGAAACTACTGCTACAGGACTTATTATCTAGGCAATTAATCTTATATATACATATTTTTTCTTAACTTTTTCTGTGCTTATACCTTCTCTAGACTATTTGATCATAAACTTCTAGAGAGTATGTGACCAGACTTCACACTTCTTTGAATTCCATCTGCGCAATGGCTTGCACATAGCGGGTTCCTAAAACTGTTGCTTAGTTGCAGGTATAGTTTGAAGCCTCTTCTGGCCCAAGAGAAGGAAGTTAGAGAGAAAGATTGTCCTTATTGGAACACTTACATCCAGGTCCAGCTGGGAGCTGCTCTGACATGGAAGACCCTATCTTTGGGCAGAACCAGCCGTACTTCTGCCTGCAGCAGGCTGGATGGGACCCCTAGTCTAGGAAGCAAATAGATCTCAGTGGAAATTTCCCACCTCCTGCCCGCCCTATGCCCCTGTGCAGGCTCCTTATCAGGTTCCCCCTGAGTCATCCTGACCCAGAGACGAATTTAGATGCTGGAACCTTCAGGTCCCTCCCTCCCCCACTCCAAGTAAGACTACTTTAGACACATCAGAGAAGCACAAAGTTCTGAATGCAAAAGTTCGCACTCTAGGGTCTCTTTCTCCCTAAATTCCACTAGAGCTGGTGAGATCTCTCTCTCCTGTCCGATGCATCTTTAGCTATGATCCTAATTCCAGCAGGCTCGCCCCTGTCTGGGAGAGTGTTAAACTGGTATCCAGAGGGAAGAGGAGACTAGGCAAGGAGCCAGAGTGTCCAGGTTCTGTGCCAGTTTCTGGGGAAAAAGTTATGAAGGGAGTGGGAGAAGGGAACAGAAGAAAACTTGGGTGCTCCAAATTGGGGGATGTAGGGGGAGCCCTTACATTTGGGGTTGTTGAAGGCTGAGTTTGAGCCTGACCAGTTCTCCTCCTCTGGGTCACCACCTCCCTCTTGGCCTCTCCTTCTTTCCAGTAGACCCTGCCAAGTGGGGATGAAAGGGGCATTGATGCTCCTTGGATGGGAGGGGGGTTGCGAGTGGTGAGGGTGGTGGTGGGAGGGTGGTTCCCAGGCAAGACTGGGGAGGGCAATTTGGGGGTCTTGGGGGGGCAGTCTGTGCTAGTGTTGCAGTTGGCAGCTCAAGTTCCATTGGCCATTGTTCCCAACTGGCCTGGTGCCCAGCCCCCGAAATGGCAACTCAGGAACCAGGCTGAAGGGGGATGGGGTGGGGATGATCCTGGGATTGCGGGAGCAAGAAGAGGGGGAGGTGGAGAGAAACTCAATCCGGTTTCCTTTTGCTTAAGACAACTTCAAATTCCCTTAGCCACATCAACTACCCGGTTCCAAGGAGCCTTCCTCTGAGGGGTACGGGGAGGGTGCATCTGGTGTGTATGTGTGCGTGTGTGTGAAGTCTAGGATAGTAAACCCACTCAGGAACAGGGAAAGACCGGGCAGTCCCTGAGACCATCGCCTGGGCATTGCTATTCAGCCGGTCTGAGCTGGTCTCTCCCTCCGTTTCTGGGCCGGACTGGGAGGGGTTAGCGCCCGAAGCCACAGGGTCTCTTGGGTCCCAGCCCGGGACACAGTGTCCTCCCCAAGCCCCTACTCCACCCGCGCAGGGTTAACTCCGCCTCTGCGCCTGTTTACCCAGGAGTCAGAGCCTCTGGGGGTCCCCGGCCCCTCCCCCGCCCCCCTTGAGGCCTTGACCCGGGAGTCCCCGTTGGCCATCCGCTCCCCCCTCCTGTGATCGCCCTCTATTTATAGCGGCCCCCCACATTCCCCGCCCCCCCTCCCGCCCTGTCCACCTTCTCACCAACTAGCCGGAGAGCAGGCGTCGGGACGCAGCAAAGAGAGGTACCAGGACCCTGGGCGCCAGGGAGTCGGAACTCCTGCGCCCTAGACGTCCCCTCCTACTCGGTGCTGGCACCCCTGCCCCTCCCAGCCGGCGAGACCCCCGCCTCTTTCGCGGCGATGCCCACCCACCTCCTCCTTCCTTAACCTAACTCTCTGTTTCCGGGCGGGCGGAGTCGAAGTCGTGGGGTGTCTGTGCCCTGGGTTCGTCTTCCCCATACCCGTCCCCACCACTGGGTCTGGGGGCGAAAAAAGGAGCCAGAGTGCGACAGGCAGATCCAGGGCATAGGTGGGGGCGCTGTCGAGGGCGGCCGAGGGGATCCCTTTTGGGGTTAACGGATCCCCGTACACCCCACACCGTCCCGTTCGGGGTGGGGGGATGTTGTGAGGAGCGCGAGCGGAGCCTGGAAGCATCCAGCAGTTTGCTCTTCTCGGAGTCTCCCCACCCCACCCCCGCCCCCAGCACAGCCCCTCCCGGAGCGGCAGTCTGGGGCGGGGTAAAAGGGGGGGCGTGTTTACTGGGGGTCTGGGGCGGATCTGCCGGGAGCTGCCGGCCCGTGGGCGGGCTGAGGCGGGCCGGGGGCGGGTCCGTGGGGAGCCGGAGCCTGGGCGGGCCCGAGTCAAAGGCAAGTGAAGGTGGAAGCGGCCGCGGCGGCAGCAGGTAGGGGGAGGGGCAGGCGAGGGGCTGCCCGGCCTGGAAGGCGCCAGCTGGGCGGGTGGGCGGTTTGATCCCAGTCCCCTGGAGCGGACAGCTCTGGGGAAGAGGCCCGCAAGGAGGGGGCGCTCGGCTGCTGCGCACAAAGGCTGAAGCTCTGCAAGCGGCAGGGTGTGTTTGGGGTGTGCGTGAGGTTGCGTCCAGAGTCCAGGGCACACCGAGCGGGCGGTGCAAAGGTGTCGGTCCTCACGCGTACAGGCAGCGCAGCGACTCGTAGGGACAGGTTCCGGGTGCTGGGCCCGGCCAGTCCCATCCGTCCTGCCTGTCCCTTCCCAGCTGGCGCTTGCCCTCGCTGGCCGTCGGGGGGAAGCTGGGAGGAGATTGCGGGGCCGCCCTCCCCTCCCTTTCTCCACTCGCGGGACCTGCAGAGACTGAGTGGAGGAGAGAAGCGAAGGCACGAGGCTTTTTTTTCTTTTTTTTTGGTTTGTTTTTAAGTGGAGGGAAACAGTCATGCTCTGCTATCCTCATCTTACTAGACAGCTGTCAAAAATCTTGGGGATCCCCTAGTCCCCGTTTTCTGGTTTACAGATAGGAAATTGAGTGCAAGAGTAGTAACTGACTGGGCCAAGGTCACACTGGTAGTGGCAGAGCCGGGATTAGGATCCAGAGGTTCTGACACAGCCACCTCTTTCCTCCACATCAGCATTTCCTTCTCTCCTCCCCCAGCCTGGACTGATACCTGTTCTGTGTTGACACGCAGGCCCTCCAGCCTGTATTGATTGTAGTGCATGCCCAGAGAGGACGTGTTCTCTGGACTCAGGGGTAGCGACTGGGGAGGGTTAGTGACCCCAGGAGTCTGGGTCTTGGCTGAGGCTCTCTGTCCCTAAAAGACCCAGGGTCTGTCTCCCATGTCATTCACCTCATTTGCTGTGTTTTCGCAGACCCCAGAGTCAGGAGGAGTGAGAACCCTGACCCCTAATCTCACTACGTCCAGCCAATAGGAGACCAGTAAGTGACCCCACCCCCAGCCTGCAGACTCCTTCCTGTGCAGGTCTGTCCAGGTGCTCTGCTCCTCAGCCCCACTAATGTTGAACGTATGCTAATTTATTCATAGTTGGGAGGGAGAGTGGGGGGAGAAGGGAAGCACTGGATCTGTAGGGCACAGATGTTCCACTTTTGTTGTTTTCCCCCTCCCCCGATTTGTCATGTTGCTTTGGTCACTTTTAGACTCTTTCTTTGAGTTTCTGACCTTGGGGCTTTAGTTGAAGGTCACAGTGGATTGTGAAGTTTCATTACTCTGTCCCTTGGTACCTTTAGAGTACCCAGTCACTGAGCTATGAGTTTTACCCTCTACCTGAGAGTGTGGGGTGGCCCCTAAATATAGCCTGGGAAATCCGAGCTGCACTGCTGCCCCACCCTGGTATTTCGGTCCAGGAAAGAGGAGGGAGGGGGTCCGGAGGTGTGGGTGTTGAGGGGTGGCAGTGAGGATGGCTAGTCTGAAAAGGAGAGGTGTCCTGATTCCTCTTCCACAACCCCTCCTCCCACTCTGCCTGGGAATGGAGCTGGGGCAGGAAAGGCCCTCTGGGTGTGCTGGAGTCGTCTTCAACTCCTGGGTCCCTCTGCACCCTGCGCCATCCTGTGCTGAGAGAGGAAGCCTGGTGTTTGAGGTGTGGGGTGTGGAGGTAATCTCCCAGTATTGTTGTTTCCTCACCCTGCCAGGCCACCATGGCGGAGCTGCAGGAGGTGCAGATCACTGAGGAGAAGCCACTGTTGCCAGGACAGACACCTGAGGCAGCCAAGGTTATTAGAGACCCTCTGACTCCCATGCCCGAATTCCAGACCTCTAAGCATCACCCTCGCCTGCTGATTTCCCAAGCCCGCCGATCTCATGCTAACCCACTTTTTCCACCTCTACCCAAGTCTCTTTCCCCATATGCTACAGTTGGGAGTCCAGGTCCTCGTCTTGTCACTGCACTAACCTTCATCTTCTCCATGTCTCTTTGTGTCAATCTCATTCTGTCTTTGGTCTCTGTCGGTCTCTCTTTACCTACCTCTTTGTGTCTGTCTCTCCATCTGTAACTCTGTATGGTCGTGTGTTTCTGTGTCGTCTGTGTGTGTCTCTCTCCAGGAGGCTGAGTTAGCGGCCCGAATCCTCCTGGACCAGGGACAGGTAACAGCTTGGTGGCAGTCCCAGGGTGGGCGGAGGGCCTCTCCTCTCCCCACGTAGAGAGAGGGCCCCTACCTGGCTCTTTCTCCTCTCTTCACTTCCTTTCCTTCTATTCCAGTCCTTTCCCATACCCATCTCTGCCCTCTCCTTCCTTCCTCTTCCCTTCTCTCTCTAATCTTTCATTATTCTTTTCTACCCTCAAACTCATCTTCCGTTGTCATCTTTTCCTAAATTCTTGCTGATCCTATTTTTAATTCTTTGTTCCCTTCTCCTCTTTGCCTCTCCCCTCCCAACTCTCTGACTTTAGTGTTGCTCCTTCTCTGGCCCCTTTTCCTTTCAGCCTAACTTCCACCTGATGGTAACCTATTTTCCTGCAGACGCACTCTGTGGAGACACCTTATGGCTCTGTCACTTTTACTGTCTATGGCACTCCTAAACCCAAACGTCCAGCGATATTCACCTACCACGATGTGGGACTCAACTGTAAGGACCTTCATTCCTCCTCCCACTCCTCTTGGGGAAGAGGCTGGGGGAAGGGTAAAAACCCAGTGGAGGGGGAGGGGTCAGGATGGGCAGAAGGTCTCTCCCAGCATGAAAGAGGGTGGGTTCTGACTTGTGGACACTTTTTCCTGTCTGATTCTATTATTGGGGTGATGTGGATTCTCTTTAGATAAATCTTGCTTCCAGCCACTGTTTCAATTCGGGGATATGCAGGAAATCATTCAGAACTTCGTGCGGGTTCATGTGGATGCCCCTGGAATGGAAGAGGGGGCGCCTGTTTTCCCTTTGGGGTAAGAATGAGCTCTTTACCCCTTCACCAGACTGTGAGGCACGGGGCAGGAGTGGGGAAGATTGGAGGGGAGGAGGAAAGGGAGGGCAGTGGTGATTCCAGGAGAGGATGAGAAGGACATCCTAAGGTGGGGGGCATGGGGGCAGGTTGGTATGTTCCTTGACACGCCTCTCTTCCCCAGATATCAGTACCCGTCTCTGGACCAGCTTGCAGACATGATCCCTTGCATCTTGCAGTACTTAAAGTGAGAGTCCTGGGGACCCCTCCAAACCAGAGTTCTCTTTCCAGCATAAGGAGACCCTTAGAACTCCTGGGTCCGCCATGGTTCCTGGGCTAGCTCTGGCCTCTGACCTTGATATATCCTTTCTCTTTCGTGCTCCCACCTTGATTGTTGAAAGGAAGGGGAGTGCATTTGGAAAATTGACTACAGTCAGCAGAGTAGCCCATAATGGAGGAAGGACAGGAAAAGGAAGGGTCTAGGCTTGGCCCTGCCTCAGGCTGAGGAGGGGCTTCTCTGATCAGAAAGCCATGGAGGAAAACAAGGGGCAACATAATCCCTGAGGAACCCGATAGACCTGTCTCATTCCCTCCCTCTCCCCCTTTTTCACACCCACACCTCGTGACTTGAACCGGGAGCCCTGTGAGGAAGGGAGTGTGGGGGAAGGAGTAGAAAGCCAGACCAGGCGTCTTCGGCATTCAGAGGGACTCCTGGGTGCTGTTCTTGGCTCGGCTTTTCCTAGGCACCAGGGCTCTTAGCGGCTCTGGTTCACCTCATTGCCTCTGTTTCCCCCACTCTCCCTGTTGTTCACTAAAGTTGTGTCTGTTTTCACATCTTGCTTTAAGTTCCATTCTTCTGCTTAGAGGAACCAGGAACTAAAGCAAAACAAGTTGAACTAGCTCCTGGAAATTGAGAATGGACAAAGAGCTATCTATATAGGAAAACAGTGCGTCTCATTGGTTGGTTGGTAGATGGGTGTTTCTTTTCAAGACACTAACTCTCCAAGAGGAAGTGGGGTATAGGCTTCAGGGATCTACACTGACTCCAGTGCCAACCTTTAGCTCCTTGCACCTTCTTTTTAGCATCTCTCAAAAGAAGGTCCCTTTCTGTGCCTCTTTGTGCCCATGGCCTTGGGAGGGAGGGTGAGGAGTTTGAAGAGACTGGGCTGTGGCAGGTTTTGGACACCAGAGCCCATGAGACATACATTTATTTCCCTTTTACAGTTTCTCTACAATAATTGGAGTTGGCGTTGGTGCTGGAGCTTACATCCTGTCGCGATATGCTGTAAGAAATAAAACCCCCCAGAGGAGGGAAAAGAGGGTGCAGAGTGATAAGGAGAGTAATGTTCATTAGCATGTGTTTGTGGGACGGTGGGGGGTCAGGCCCTATGTGAGTGCAAGAGTGGGCAGAGCTCAGTGGGTAGGGGATAAGGCCATGCCCTGTTTCTGATTTCTTTCCTTCTGTTGCCCCTCAGCTTAACCACCCAGACACAGTTGAAGGTCTTGTCCTCATCAACATTGATCCCAATGCGAAGGGTTGGATGGATTGGGCAGCCCACAAGGTTTGGAGAGCCCTGTGTGCTGAGACCTAGGGTGGGGGTTCCCTTTGTGTGGGTCCAGTGAGGCTCCTCCAGCATTTAACTAAATGGACTCTGGACTTCAAGGAGGGGGTGGTGATGGGGCAGGAAAGTGAAGCTGGGTCACTTTACCTGGGCCTGTCCTCCCCATAATGTCCTGAACTTTCTCACCTGCCCTTTCCTCATAGCTAACGGGCCTCACCTCTTCCGTTGCGGAGATGATCCTTGGACATCTTTTTAGCCAGGTAAGTGGTCATGGAAGATGGAGGGAGTAGAGGGGACCAGCAGGCACTTGAATGCTTAGGATGAATTCCTTGGCTGGAAAACAGGATCTGGGGAGGGAAGAAGGCTTGCCTCTTTTCCTCTGGTAATTGTTGGCTTCTCTTTCCAATCCTAATTTTTCTCCCTGTTCTTCCTTTAGGAAGAGCTGTCTAGAAATTCTGAGTTGATACAAAAGTATAGAAATATCATTACACATGCACCGAACCTGGAGAACATTGAACTGTATTGGAACAGCTACAACAAGTGGGTGGGCTGTGTGTGCGTGTGTGCGTGTGTGTGCATGTGAAAGAAATGTAGAAGCAGTGACCAGGCGTCATGGGGATGCACAGAGGAGGAGAGGGGAGTCTGGGAAGTATGCAGTGTGCAAGGAAGGCAGGATTGGTGTACCACTGGGGCAGCTTCCAGACAAAGCCAGTGGGAAGAATTGTGAGGAGCTGTTCCCCTTCTCTTGTTTACCTCCCTTGGATTTTTGGATTCCCAGAAGTAAGATGATCTCTTGTCCTGTGCCCTTCCTCCCCCTTTGCTGCCCTCTGACCAGGGATCTAGGGACAGGTGACTACAGGGGTGTGCTTGGGATCTGCCTGCCACCTTCTCCTTCAGTTTCCACTTTTAATCATCAATATGTATTTGATAATAATTTTTGGGAGGAAGATAGCTTCCTCATGGGGAAGTTAGCATATATTTGGATGGATAGGATTGCCTACCTAAAATTCATACTCTTTAACCCCTCTCTAGCCGCCGGGACCTGAACTTTGAGCGTGGAGGTGATATCACCCTCAAGTAAGACTTTAAGAGAGAAAGCTTTGCTTCTCCCCCTCAGTGTCCCCTAGGTGCTTATATCCCTTAGAAGAAGGAGAGTCTTTGGCCAAGGAATTTCCTTGTCACCTCCCACACCATCCTCTTTAGCAAACTGCCTCCTTCTAGGTCTTCTCCCTTTGAATCCTCTTGGTGGGGCCAGCAGGGGGAAACAGAAGGCTGTTCCCTCTTTGGAGCCAGACATTTTTCCAGCTGTGCTTCTAGGAAGAGGCAGGTGAAGGAGTGCTAGGTGCTCACTGCCTTCTCCCCTACACAATGCCTCCAGGTGTCCTGTGATGCTGGTGGTAGGAGACCAAGCACCTCACGAAGATGCAGTGGTTAGTAGGGAATTTTGGGGTGAGGAAGGGAAGGTTTGGGTCCTAGGGTGGTGGTCAGAGGGGTACCTTGCCAGGGGATAACCGCACAGGGAGATCGACTTTCAGGCATTAAGAATTTGATTCCTGGTAAGAAGGACCTAGGTTAGGGGGCTGACAGGAAAGGGACTGGAGCCTGGGTCCCTTGGAGGGGAGGGGGTCACAGGGAATGTGACCTCATTCATTCTGCCTTATGCTTACTGCAGGTGGAATGTAACTCAAAGCTGGACCCCACTCAGACCTCGTTCCTCAAGGTCAGTACCCTGCTTCCTGGCCCCTGTCCAGAGCCATATGTCCTCTCTAGAGTCAGCTGCTGAGCCTCCAGGGCCCTGCACGGGAGCAAGTGAGGTGAATGAAGAAAAAAGCAAAGGGGCTGGATTGAAGCAGCTAGGGAAGAGAGACCCTTTTCTACCTCTGTGCAGCTCATTGGATTAATTTGTGTATCCCTTTTTTGGGGGCTCTCTCCTGACAGATGGCTGACTCTGGAGGTCAGCCCCAGCTGACTCAGGTGAGTACCCCTGCCGTCTCTGGGACGGGGAAGTGGGAAAGGATAGTGGGACTGAACTCTGTTTGCCACACGCCCCGCCCCACACTGCCACAGCCTTGGGCTTCCGCTCTGCCTCTAACCTCATCTCTCTGTCTCCTGCTCACCGTACTTCCACAGCCAGGCAAGCTGACTGAGGCCTTCAAGTACTTCCTGCAAGGCATGGGCTACAGTGAGTATGGGGACAGAGGCTTTCATGAGGACAAGGGATTGCTGCACAAGAGGTGGGAGAGGCACTGAGGGTGTGGAACCATCTTAGGTTAATTCTTGGGCTCGCTGCCATGTGCCAAATCAAGCTCATCGGCTGTGTCTCCATTCAAGCCTATTGAGTTGCCAGCCTCCCTTCCCCACCTCTTCTCTCAGACTATGTACATATCTTTCTGTCTCCACAGTGGCCTCATCCTGCATGACCCGCCTGTCCCGGTCTCGCACAGCCTCTCTGACCAGTGCAGCATCCATCGATGGCAACCGGTCCCGCTCTCGCACCCTGTCCCAGAGCAGCGAGTCTGGGACTCTTTCTTCAGGGCCCCCGGGGCACACCATGGAGGTCTCCTGTTGAGTGACCCTTGTTGCCCCAGTGTGGGACCCAGCCCTCACCTCCCCCAGAACTAACCTGGGAGGTGCATAAGGGCATTGGGCCAGAGTAAGCAAGAGAAAATGGGCAGATCATATGGGGAGACGATCTTCATCTTTGCTACCCTAACTTTGACCTTTAACCTGTGATTCTCCCTAGCTCCTGGGAGAGATGTCCTAATATCTCTTAGGGACCCAGACCCCTAAATTATCCTCCTCCCCCATTTTGGTGTTAAGGTGGAGAGGGCATGTATCCTCTCTCTCTGATTTAGGTGTCTGTAGATGAGGGATAAGAGGTTGGTGCGGTTGTCATGGTGCCTCCATCAGATTCTCCCTACTTATCCCATATTTGCAAGGGGAGGGGATTTGGGGCTGGGACTCCATTTACCAAAGCTGATATGGCTTCTCGTTAACCCTGCAGGGCTGCCGAAAGGTATAGGCCTAAATGAATGTGTGTCAAGGGGAGACTTCTGGTGGGTTAGTGGTCCTCAGGATATGATAGCAGCATCCAGTGTGCAAAAAGGAAGTTGGAATGGGAGGTGGTGGGCAATGAAGGTGTCTGGAGGAGGGATTGGCTCTAGGTGGGCAATAGGAGGGGCCTGGGGCCATTTGGCTGCACTAACTTTGGTAGCTATAGGTGTGCATCTAGAGTGGGATGGGGAGGGAGCTTAGCTTGGGCTGGGCTGCTTGGGGCTCAGAATAGGGGTGGAAAGGGCTACCCCAGGGCTCTGACTACACTGCATTATGTGTGGAGGGTGCCCTCCTGTCTCCCACGACTTCTGCTGTAACAATAAACTGTAGAGGAATCTGAGCACCATTATTCTTCTTTCAGTATGCCTACATCCTGCCCCTTTTCCTATCCTCTCCCTGCCCAGCTCTCACATTCTCTTCTCAAAATGACATAAACCAGGAGAGGGTGTATGTGGCATAGACACTTCACAAAATGTGACCACATAGAAACTGGCCCCATTCCAACAGAGTGGTGTTGTCTTTGATATTGATAGTATTTTTAAGCTTGGGAGAGAGGAGTTGCTTAGATCTTAGAAGGCTTCCTTATCAGTTATGGATCATTGAGAAAGGCCGTAGGATTTCAGAGATGCCACCAACATCATGATCTCTGAGAAAGAATAAAGAAAGCTGACTGAAGTGCCCAAGGATGTCTTGCAACCCACCCTCCTGCAGAATCCTCCCTAGGAGTCACCAAGAGTCCATTCTAGATGGGTCAGCACAACCAGTAAACCAGGGCTCATGAAGTTACTATAGGGGTTGGGTTGCTCATAGTTCATCCCAATCTGAAGACTCTTCCAGGAAAGTCACAGCAAAAAATGATTTCTTCTTGGGAATTCCTCCTCCCCCACGGAATTCAAGGGATCTAGGAGCTCATTAGACAATGTTTGTGGTTCTCTAAGAAGCTTTTCAACAAATATGAACAACAATCACCAAGAGGAATTCATATATTTTGCAGCTCTTGAGGCACAAGACATAAAAACGAGAAGGTACTTTGTAGCATCATTGGCAAGAGTACTGTGGATGGAATATTACAAGGTCATTTGCCAGACTGCTTTATAGAAACCCCACAGGCAATTATACCCTTTCCTCAGTGAAACTGAGCTGAGGACTAATGCAGTTTGATATCTAGTGCTGACACACTGATTGACATGGAAGTGGGGCATGGAATATGTTCTTGATTCTTGAGCATTTCTTCAGTCTCTCCCATCGGACTGAGTCTATTTTAAATGCAGTAGGCCAGGGAAACCAGCAGGGTTAGCTATTGATTGGTGAGGGTGTGGGTGAGCACATGCAGGGCAGGCAGCAGAGTGCTGAGATGCCACACTGAAGGAAAGAAATGAAATTGGAATCATTGGGACCATCTAGCTCCTAGGCAAAACATGAGGAAGAGGCAAGAAACTACAATCAGCATCGCTTTTACTGGCTGTAGATGCTGTTGTGCATCATGGAAGGGAAGGCAGGTCTTGTCTGCACATCTGCCTATATAGAAATACTGTCAGCAGGGCAATCTCCAGGAATGGAAGCAAATTACCTTTATGTGTACATATGCGAGTGTGTACATACATAGCTGTCATGTAGGTGGGTGTGTGAAATGGGTGGTGACCGTATGTGTCTCTCCTGTAGATGTGTCTGTATAAGAAGCCTAGCAGGTAGGGAGAGGGAAAGATGCTGTCTGCTGGGAGCAAATGGGGGTGGGGTGGGGTTTGCTGTCCTTGACAGACCTCCCTCCTTTGTTGGTCCTAATGTTCTAGTCCAGCCCATGGTGACACAGTGCCCCCCTGTGGTTGGCATGGTTCTTAATAGCTTTCCCCAGTTCTCAGGTCCCTTCCTACGGTTCTCCAGTCCTACAGCCCCACTGTCCTTTGTGGTTCTACGCAGTCGCTATATGGGGAGGTCCTGATATTGTGGTCAGCTGCTCCTGTCCATTCTCAAGATCAGACCTCAGAGGCTCCGAGGAGAGGTGTGGTGATTTTATAGAAGCCAAACCACAAACTCCCTACTTTATGTCTCTGTTTCAGGCTTAGGACTCCTGTTTCTCTCTTCCCCTCATTCTCAAGGAATGTGAGTATTTCCCAGACTTTAGGGACAGAAGCCCAAGATAGTTAAGATTCAATGGGAAAGAGAATAAAACTAGAAGAACAGAGTGAAAAAGAGCCTTATGATTTCAGCTTGAAAATTCTGCATCTCATGAAGAGATTTTAAAGGGCAAGTCTCTGAAGGTACACACAAAACAGAAACTGCAGCAGGAGGGATAGGCGTTAGACATTAGAGAGTACTTTAATGGCTAGGGAAAATGCTGGAGTGGGAGATTTCCAGAGAGATTTTAGGATTAACTAGAAAGTGAGAGTCAGTTCTGAGTAGAGGCCAGGGGTGTGGTGAGGGTAAATGGTGCCTAGAGCAATGGTATTTGTTTATACCCTCTCTCCTCACTAACATCACAATTTCCCCCAAATTGGATAAATATACAGTAAAAGTAGAATGCATTCTGTATTTGACATCCAACAAATCTTAAGACAGTAACTCAGAATATAATTAAAATTTTTAAACTATCTACAACTGGCATTTTGTAAGCATTCCCGCAGACTGAGGGATGGTGCCTGGGGGTGTCATCCCTCTCTGCACCCCTTTCACTTCACCTTTGCTAGTGGCAATGGACTCCCCCTCAGGGCAGTGGGGGACCACACTCACACATGCCAACCCGCTCAAATTCTGGCAGCTGCTCCTTGTACCCTATCAGACTAGAGCCCGGAGTGAGGGACGGTTTCCTGTGGTGAAGGTGACAAGACACTCTGAAATTGGCCTTCAGGGACAGGGTTTTGTTCCTGGATGTGTCTTGTCCCTGCTCCTGCATATTCCCTAAACTCTGGTATCTCATCTTTCTTTCTTCACAAATTGTCATTCTATAACTGCAATATCCAAATCAAACCTCAGCTTGAAAGTGAAGGGAAGGTGAGGGAGTTCCAAAGGGTTACTTCAGAGAAAAATTTATTGGTGGCAGAAATGGAAAGCTGGCTGTAGGAAGAAGGGTGGTTCGAGGCCTTGTTCTTGTTTTCCTCCTGTTTACGTGTATACAAAATACATGTGTTGGGTGGAGAATGAGGAATGGGGAAGAGGGACAGGGACTGGGGAGACTTGAAAATTGTCCCATGAGACTTCTCCCCTCACTATTCCAGCTAGCTTCCCCTCATCCCTTCTCCCATCCTGCATATCTTCCCTCCTATTTTTATTTTTCAACTCTCACCATTCCAGCTATCATCTGTTACAGCCTATCTCTCAGGGCCGAGTGAATCAAGGCTTAGTGCTGGATCTGGTTTCTAGTGGCCATGCCCCAACTGAGATAGCTGAGAGCTATCTTAGCTCTCCCTCCTGTCCTGTGGTTCTTATGCCTGTTCTTTTTCTGGCCTTCTTGTTTCAATCTCATTCAGAAATCACATTCATCTCCTGCTGCCTTATAGCCTTCTCTGGCTCCTTGCTGGGAATTTATATCTTTTGAAAATGATCAAAGATTATCTCCTTTTCCTGATCCTGATCTTCTCCCCTGATATTATCTATATGCAGCAATTCTCTATCTTTATTCCAGCTCTTGATAAAATATGTTTCAAACTAAAGATGGTTCTGGTCCCAGTTGGTAAGAATTTTGGGAAAAGGAAAGGAAATGGCCTGGGGAAGGAAAGCAAGCCTTGATGGCTGAATGCAGAGGAGGTTAAAGGGGAATGCAAGGGCTCTTGGGATAGTAAAAGGCAGAAGTGCATGACTTACCCATGCTGCAAATATCCCCAACTCTGCCTCATTTACCTCAAATGCTGATAGCATCAGTGGCCCAGGACATGGTCAAGAGCCCTGACAGTCTAACGTACTTCTCCTTAAGCCTCCTTTCTATAGCCATACGGATCCTCTGTACTAGAAATAGGCTTTCTAGCTTCCATATAATCGTGTCCCTTCCAAAGTCCTGGCAAAAATCACTTCAGTTGAAAATAGCAGAGAAGGGATGGTATGTGGGACATCTTCTGCTTGCCCCTCTAGATCTCTTTATTACGCTTTGTGCCCCATGAGGCTGACCTCCCTGCAACGCACCAAAAGACATTTTTATGTTCTGGCTTCTGTTTGGGTTTGCCCAGTATGAGACATTAGCAGTAGAACAAACAGTAGGAGAGTGAGTTTTTCTCCTGGTCCTTCCTTATTGGGTCCCTGCAGGTTGGTGGCATTCCTCTACCAAAGGCCACAGCTCTTATTGGATGGCCCTCTCTAGTTTCTGGTAGCTGCTCCCTTCTCTTCAACCTAGGTAACAGCATTGTTGTTACTCAGCCCCAGGGTATTGCACCATCATTTATTGCTTTGTTCAAATCCTGCCCACACATTACTAAATACTCCCTTTATTAATCTTGCCTCAATTACCCAATGTACTATCTGCTTTCTTCTGGGATCCTAACATATAGGTTGGGGAGATGGGAGGGGGTGGTAAGGTAAAGGTAAGGAAAGAGAAGAGAATCTATACATTGAGCTTTTCTTAAAGTCATAGAAACATGGGCTTGAAGCCCAGCTAGCTATGTGACCAAACTATTTAACTTTTCTGAATGCCAGTTTCCCTAGACTTACTATGGGGATAATATCTACCTGTCAAGGTTGTGAAGGTACGATAACGTATGTGAAAGCAAGTAGCACAGTGCCTGGCATGTAGCAGGTGCTCAATGTAGAAACTGTATTATTACTACAACTAAGTATTGTTCTGAGTATACTACATTACTGCATTTAATACCGAATGGAAAACACAACAGGATGGTGCTTCAAACAAATTATTTCCTGTGTTAGACACATCTATCTATCTATCTATATATCTATATCTATCTATCTGTCTATCAATCCTTTTGGCCTAAAGCTTGCCTTCTCACTGATTCCTGGGCATGTAAACTGGGCTTGTGAGGAGGCTAGTATTTCTTACTTTGTAGGGAGGGGAACAGCATGGACAGGAGACAAAGACAAGAATGAAATGCAGGAGATCTTGTCTGTCTGTGTTAAGGTTACTTGGACTTCCACACTGAAAATACCAGAAGGGGCAAACTGGTGAGCGTAATAGAGCTCAGGGGCACACTTTCTCTTTCCCCATTTCTCCACTAAGTCTGAGATATTCCTTGATCTCATGGCTTGGGGGCTAGGCAACAGCCATCCTGTTCCTCCTCAATTCCAGATAACCTGCTTTTGCATTTGTCCTTAGCAGTTTTAAGAGAAGCAACACACTATAAGGGTTACTCAAACTGAAAGACAATTTGTAGGGCAGGCAGAAGGAAAGCTACTAAGTCCTGGCAGAGCCAAATAATCACCCCAGGCATTTATCTGGCGCCTTTCTCCCTCTCCAAACACACAGCTTTTTAATCCCTCAGCACGAGGCAGCCGGAAGGATATAGAGGGCTCAAAGAGGAGCAATAGTATCCTTGAAGCCACATAGGGCTCAGAATGAAAAACAGGAACATGACGGAAATAGGCTCCATTTAGGCTATCTCAAGAGCCCGTTGGGTATGTTATGGGTGGCTTACAATAGGTACTGGGAGTAGGGTGGGTAGTTAGTGTAGGAAAATGACTAATCCTCATGGTTTCTGTTTTTAAACTTCTTTCCCTTTAAATGCTGGGAACTCTGGTTCATTTTCTCAACTTCTGGGGCTCAGGTGGGAGGGGTTTGCTGGAATTTCAGCAAAGCTCCCATGTCTGGGGGTGTGGCTGGCAACTGACAGAATGGCTAGAAGCCCTAATTCCAGAAGAAAATACTACATCCAATTCTCATTCTTCCCATTCCCCATTTCACGACTTCCCGCACCCAGCAGCTTCTAGGTAACCAGGAGAAATGAAATAGAATATGGCTAAAGGGGAAGAGCAAAATGAACATTTTATTACACACAGTAGTATAAATGGGACAAGAGTCAACTTTGGAGTGGTCTCTATACCGATTCTCCAATTAATAGGCACTCAACTATAATACCCTTTTTTCGGTTCTGGGTGAGAAATGGGATCTCATGTAAGGAACAGCTGGGATCCAGTCCATGGAGATGGTATCTAGTGTCGTTTAGTCTCAGTGAAGAAATGTCCAAGGGCCAAAGCCAGTTGGGAGGTGTCTCGTGGGGGTAGGGAGATCATCCTAGACAGGCCCGTTAGAAAAGCCAGGAGTCTCTCAGGCCCACAAGGCAATAAAGGCCATAAAGGCAAAACCAGCAGCTACACAGCCCCATTTGGCTAGAGGGGTCGCAGGACCAGCTAGCTCCCGGGGCAGAATTTCTAGGAAGGTGACATACAGGAAGGTTCCAGCTGCCACACCCTCTAACACGGCCTGGGCTAAGCCCCGTCCCCCTTCCAGGTCCCCTCCAACCACGGCCAGCCCAAAGGCTAGGCCCACAGGGGACATGAGAGCTAAGGACAGTATGGAGAACACGGCCCATCGTGATCCAGTGCCTATCTGTACCAGCCGCAGTCCTACACCAAACACTACGAGCACCTTATGAGCCAGGACGGCAAGACAGAGCTGCAGGGTAGCTGCTATTGTTGGCTGCAACCCTACAGCTAGACCTTCAAACACTGAGTGAAAAGAGAGTGACAGCAAGAGGATGAGGGCTCGGAGGGGACTCCGCGAAGGTGAGGGGAGAGGGCCATGGCTGTGGAGTTCCAAGACATGAGTCCCACCCCATTCTTCCTCCTGCACCGTTGATCCTCCAGCAGCCCCAGGACAGCACTGCAATGCCAGCGACTCCAAAAAGAAGACAACAAAGAAGCCCAGGGAGATGATGAGCTCTCCATAGGGATACTCCATCTAGGAACAGAAAGAGGGGCTGTGAAATGGGAAGGGAAGACAGTGCGTTGGGCGGATGAGGGATTGAGAGATTGAAGAGAATGGGAAAATGTGGCAACAGAACTTTAAAAAGAGTGGGCGAATGAAGCCAAGAGTAGAAAGACATGCACATGCAACAAGAATGCCAGAGGGACTAAGGGATACAATACCAGTAGGGTTAGAAATACAGGGAAACGATCTGAAGCACATCATAGGGTCCAGGGAAATGAAAGAGTAAAGTGAGAGCTTTTTCTGGGATTCCATAAACCCAAAAGGATTGGGTTGGCCCCTCCTTGCCTCTACAATGTCTGAGCTGGGGAGAAGGGATTCTTGGTATTCCTCACATACTCCTCTCAAAAGGCCCTGGGGATAAAAGGACTCTGGTTCTCTTCACCTTCCAAGTAGGGGCTGGTGGGAGATACTTACATAAGCTGAGTCAACATCAGAAGAATTTCCCTCACTATCTGTCCTGTTCTAGGGAGAAAGAAGCAGAAATTAGATAGGGAACGGAGCAGCTCAGGTTCCTGTCTCTTTAGCAATACCGCTTTCCTTAAAGCCCAATCTGATCTGCTTTCATCATTCAACAAGAAGCTGTTGCCTTCTGTCCTTCCCCCCTTTCTTTCCTTGGTTCTGTTTAGCCTTCTGGCCTCACAGCCCTGCAGCTCAGCATCTCTGCTGCTCACCTGCATCATAAACTTCTGAAACTCTGATTCAATTTCCTCCAGGGCTTCAGCGGTCATGTGCATGAACCCTGCTCCCAGGAAAACACCAGCAGAAGTGCAGCCCAGGAGGCTGAGGACCCGACGGTGTCGACCTAATAAAAAGCATAAGTTACAACCCAGTTGGCAATGAGAAGATAGACAAAGGTGAGTAAAGAGTAATAGGCAGCAACTATTATCCCAATCTTGGGGATGATGAGAGAATCAGAGCAAGGTATAAGGATAGGGTTGAGGGGAGACTCAGGTTACGGAACAAAGATGGGGCAGGTCTATCTATACCTGTGGCTGCATCAATCCGGAACCATTTGAAGCAGATGGGAACAAGGCCACCACCTAAAGTGAGAGCCAGCAGAGCAAACAGGCAGCCAATTTTTACTCCTAGTAGTGGCTCCATCTCTGGGATGCAGGATAAGCAGAGGCCTTAGAATGACAGATGGAGTTAGAATCTTTGGAGCAGGAGGGGTATGTAAGGTGGTCAAAGCTGGAGTATGCACTCCTCTGAGTTTTAGGAGACCGCTGGTATCCTTTTCCTGTTCTGTGTTGCCTCCACTTGCACAGCACAGCATTGCATAGCTGACTTAGGCCCTGCCCCAGCTTCCCGCCCTCCCCTTACATGGAGGCCCCTCCCCTGGCTCACGCCTTCTTGAGCTTGGAAACCAGAAACTCCAGTCTCCTTGCCAGGCACAGCCAGCACTGTCTTCTCTTCAACGCCATGACTAATCTAAGGACTATGGAATATAGTCTTAGTTCACGCCTGGGGTTGGTCTAATCCAAAATTAGTTTATGCTACCTACTTCCCAGATATTTTGTGTTGGGGACAATCTGGTCCTGCCTCACTCAGGACATTTGATCTAAGCCTTCTGTACCCTCTCCAGCTCAACCCAAATCTTATAGGTTGCAATGCTGATACCTGAACCATACCCTTTCACAGAGCACTTGGGGCCACCTGGGGGTAAAGAAGTGGGGCTGAGAGGTGGTACTGCTGCCAGTGTGGGAACTAGTAGCAGAGGGGACTCCCCTTTCCTGTAATCCCAGAAAAATAGCTCCAGGCATGGAAATGCCTGCCTAGAGGGGAGCTGAGATTTCTGGTATTACAACATTGATATTGTCACAACTCTGACTGTGCTTGTTTCCTGATAAGAACTATGGGAGAGGCATTTTTAAGACAAAGAAAGTTGCTCTAGCCCTTTAAACAGCAGGGCCTAGGGGAAATCAGAGACGAACCCAGTAAATGGAAGGATCCTACCTGAATATACAGGGGTGGAGATGGAAGATATGGTCCTGGTGGGGATCAACTCTCAAGGGAAATGTATGGGGCAAACTCCAGGGTAGCTGAGGGACCCTGGGAAAGATGGAAGGGAAGGAGAGAAAAAAATAGAGGCCAGGCAGCTGCTGGTTCTCCTATTCAGGTGGCCCACATAACAATCTTGAGACCTGTTGAGCCAGTTCTCAGACAGCTGGGGCTGGCTTTCCCCACTATCCAATTATCTTCATGGGGATGTACTGGTCTCTGGTAGAAGCAGCATTCTTACAGGAGAGGGTGAGCTTGAGATTTACGTGGGAAGCTTGGCATTGAAAATCTGAGGATTTTCTTCTTTACAGGATAGGCCAAGACAACTGACTCCCTAGACCTTTTTTTTTGAGACAGAGTCTCACTCTTTTGCCCAGGCTAGAGTGAGTGCCGTAGCGTCAGCCTAGCTCACAGCAACCTCAAACTCCTGGGCTCAAGCGATCCTCCTGCCTCAGCCTCCCAAGTAGCTGGGACTACAGGCATGTGCCACCATGCCCAGCTAATTTTTTCTATATATTTTTAGTTGTCCAATTAATTTCTTTCTATTTTTAGTAGAGACAGGGTCTCGCTCTTGCTCAGGCTGGTTTTGAACTCCTGAGCTCAAACAATCCGCCTGCCTCGGTCTCCCAGAGAGCTAGGATTACAGGCGTGAGCCACCGCGCCTGGCCCCCCCTAGACCTTTTAAGAATCACAAAATCCACTTCCATTCTTTAAAAAATGTTTTATTATTATTAAAATCTCAAAAAAAACACAGACATTTGGGGGTACCACCATTCCCATCCTGGATACCAGGTAGCTTCAGCCTTGGCAGGCTTGATAGAGGAAATACTTATCACACATCCCTGTCAGCTCTCTGGGGGATCTTGAGCAGGGGACGGAGGACACTCAGACGGAGTGATCACGGGTAAAAGATCTCCCCAGGAGCTGGCACGGGCACAGCGATACAAATCCCTACAGAAAAGAGATGTCAATATGGGCTGCAGGTTCTTGCCACCGCCTACTAATTCTGGTCACATCCCCTGTACCTGCCATGCCGGCGGGCTGTGATCACAGCATGCTGCATATGCCCATTTGGACAGCACAGGTGACAATGCACATGTCTAGGCCGTTTAAGGATAGGTTGAGTGATACGGGGCCAGCGATTAGCTTCCTCTGGAGAACCCCGGGCAAGGATCACCATAGAGAACTTTTCCTCCTTTGGTTTCTTATTCTAAGATAAGGATATAGAGACTGTTTAGAGGGAAAAAATATGGGAAAAAACTTTTTAACCCTTTTCCCCATTCCTGCAGTTCTTTTTCATACTGTATAAATCATACACATGCAGGTTGTAAAGTCTCCAGGCTATTCTATGAATTCTCCAATTCCTCCCACCTCTGATTCTTTTTCTTCTTGCTTTCCTAAACTATTTTCCCCCTGCTGCAACATCCCCAGGGCACATACCCAGCTGAAGGGGATGGGATGATAATCCTGGGAGAAGCTACAGGCCAGGGGCTTAGAGGCTGTCAACTGGGGACAAGGAAGTTCATGGGGACACTGTGAACACAAAGACATGAGGTGAGACAAAAGAGTCATCACTCATAAAATTTAAGAATTAAGAATGATAGAGTCAAGCGGGGCCAGAGAGAAGGGAGGATAGGAGCAGGAGGTAGGGAAAGCCAGGGAATCATTAGGCAGAAACTGGACAGGAACACAAAGGAGTGGAGAGTGGCTCAGCTTTACCCTCTCACTTTTCCTGGCCACACCTGAGTTCAGATTTGTGTGTCGGGAGGCAGAAGTAATACTCACTGGGGCAAAGACAAAACCAGGTCGAGGGTCCAAAGTCAACTTCTCTTTTCCCTGAAATCAAAAGAAATCAAAGAAATAAAGCTGAGTCTGAGGGGTCTATTTTTATAACTCAATTGCTGCACTCAGTAAATTGAGGACTCCTTTAACATTAGACTCTAATAATGACTAACTATGTCCTTTGAGTTAAGCTGGCTGCATCCTTAATACTCCAAACAAAGAACTTTCTCTTAACAGCAAGAGAAAGGCAGGAACTTGGCACATAGTATGGTGCTCTCCCTTGTCAGCAACCTCCACTCTCAAAAAAATCCCACTCCAGGACAATTAAATTTATGATTATACACTGGCTCATACTATGCCACAGTGACAAGGTTCTTGGCTGAGCAGTGTCCTAGAGTGGGGCCAGGAAATTTTCTTTTAAAGGGCCAGAGAGTAGGCAAAATCTGTTTCTGTCCCAACGTCTCAACTCTGTAGTGTGAAAGCAGTCACAGACAACAGAGACATGAATAAGCATGGCTGATACAAAAACAGGTGGCAGGTCGGATTTGATCCACAGGCCTTCATTTGCCAACCACTGCCCTATCACAATGACTTTATATGCCTAGTTTCCTGAGAGTCACCCTTACCAATGTCCAATGGTCTCTTTGGTTTTCAAGGGAGTAACAGTAATTGATGACAGATGGGTGGGGGAATGAAGGAAAGAGAAGGAACCTTACCTTAAGGACCAGGTCCCTAGCATCCATGAGAAGGCAGTGCCCAGCTTTTGTTCCATTCTCCACCAATACCTGTTCACAAAAAGGGGAAATAAACAGAAACTCTGAATGACATGAAAACATAAATGTCAGTAGCATTCACAGATGGAGGGCATTCACAGATGGAGTAGGGGGCCTAAAAGGAAATCAGCATTATACATGTGATGGGGATAGAGACCCTCAAAGAGAGATAAAGAGAACCATAAAGGACGAAAATGTTCACGAATGAAGACAATGAGAGAAGACAAGACATGAAATCCTTGAAGCTGCTTTAAGAATTGAAATGTGGGGAAAAAGGGATTTCAACTCACCAGGAAATGACCTGTCTTACGCCACAAGGTTTGAACTACCTCAGTGCGGGCAGCCTTGCTGGGCAGTTCACTTAAAGAAAAGGCTGATACCACCACATCAAATTGTACCTGAGGACCAAGACAAGGAACATGACAGGACTCAACATCTCTCCATTCCAAGACTACAACCAAGTCCTAGCCCCTAAATTTCTTCTATGGCTTTCCTTTATCTTCTAATACTCAATGCTGGGTTACAAGGCTGAGGCCACAGTTTTCCATCTGCTACGTCTCACATTTAGAATACTCTAAACACTGCCACTTGCCTTGGGTGATACAGGTAGAAACTGTCTGAAAAAGACACCTGGAACATAAGGCTTCCCAGCTTCTGAACCACCTGTGGAGGAAAGAGATGTGGCAGCTATGAATGTATAGGAAGTTAACAGCCACAGATATAAACTGACAAGATATCCAGGTAAGAAACATGGCCCCAGGAATACAGAAAAACACTAGGTAAGAGTGAAATGCAAGAGGGTAAGTAAATATTAAAAAGAGCAGGGAGTGTATTGGGTCTCCCTCTGGTCCTGTCAACCTTATGCAACCTATCTGCTACCTAGCAAAGGCCTCTAACACCTTCGGCTTGACCAAAATATTGGAAGGAGACCAGATTCATCTGAACTTTTAGCCCTCTCCTTTATTTCCCAATAAAATACCCTTTCTAGTATTGCTTTATTTAAATTCCTCAATTCTGGAAATGCTCTTCCTTATAACTTGTCCTCACCTTTTAGTAGCTTTTCTGCCAAACCCAACATGGCAGCTGAGCTGTCCACACACACATATTCACGTAGGCTCTGGCCCCAAGTACTGTGAGCAGCCCTAAGATGGCAAAATATAAGTCACCAATTCCCATGACAGAGAGTAATCTCTATAAGAGACCCACCTACTTCCAACCCCATTCCTGGGAAAACAGAGTATCATGTTAAAATAAAATATTAACAATGTTATTTTCTTGCTTCATTTACAACTTCTAAAAAAAAAAAAAAAGGCAGACTCAAAAAACTATTTGTAGGCAGAAAAATTTTGATTGATATGCAAAACCTATGCCCTATACTAAATTCCTTTCCTTTTTAACCTTTCTAAACACTGGCCATTTTTCACTTGACATTTAGGTAAATCCATATACTTTCTTCTGCCTTGCCTAATCTGAGCAAGATACATTCTGGGTTCCCAATTTTCCTATTCTCCCCTCTGGTCCTAGTCTCTTGATATTGGAGTGGTACAAGTGTGGCTCTCTAGAGCTAGAATTGACACAGGCAAGGATGAAGAAAGTTACTCACCAGGTGACAGAACCAGTACCAGAGCCAAAGTCCATCAAGGTTTGTGGCTGGAACTCTGGAACTCGAATCCGGATCTGAAGAAACACACAACACCCCACAGTAG